CTCGTTTGCTGCTGGCCCCCATCTTGGTTGGGTTAATTTGCATATAGTTGCTCTGATTGGCTGGTGGGTGTGGCTTAAGGTGTAGTAAAGGTACAGTCAATTTGCATTTTTGTCTTTTATTAGTGTAGATAATAAAAGCATAATATGCAAATCGACCGAACAGCCGAACAGCAGAACGACCGTCCGACAACCATGCACTGGCACCAGGCCAGCCAAGGTGGATGTGATGCAATTGGCAGGGGAGCCCCACAGAGGGAGGCCAAGGTCACCAACCAGTGGGCTGCAGCAGGTGGGCAGGGCCTCCCTCTGCAGGGTGATCCATTACTGGGCTCTGGGAGAGTGCGCAGGCCAGGCTGAGGGACACCACCCCCCACCCCCAAGCGCACAAATTTCATGCACTGGCCTTCTAGTCTACTATAAAGCTGCTGGGTTTTCCACCAAAAAATATCTAGACATATTTGTATTTTGCATACAGAATTATATATTTCTAAAGTGAGACTAAAGAAGTCCCAATTCTTCCACATCTTTTTCAAACAATGTGATTATTTTGATTTTTAAAGTCTCTAGCTGCTAAAACTTCCTAAGATTTGGCCTTATGTGGGACTTCTAGACACGGAACCTAAGACAACATGTAACAGGTTCTTCTAAATATTTCTCTTCCAGGCATAAACATCTCATGAAACAACCCAACTTCAGACGTTTTTCATAGTGTCCCTTTACCCAGCAGTGGCGATGGATCAGAAGGGTATGGACAAGCTTTCTTGGGTTTTGGTGCTCCTTGTCATGTCCTAACCAGAGACCTGGGCAGCCAGAGGCAGGAAACCCAGAATGGAGATGATGCTTTCTATGCTGCTATGCCCATCAATGAAATAAATAATGTAGAAAAGAGAACCCTGCTTATACTTAGCTCTGCATCTATAAATAAAACTCTATAAATTGTTCTTTATTAAAGTTACTAAGCCAAGTTATGTCCAAGTCAAAGAACACAGAAGTCAACATGGTTCAACTTACCTGAACAAAGAAAATAAAGTGCTTAAAGGAGGTGTTGAGGTGAGCCTCCTCTTGCAGCTGCATCACAGAATCAAAGTGCTGGTGATAAATATGGGCATAAACCCTGAACAGACGTTTTAGAATGGTCTTTGCCACAGACATAAAGTTTTTGGGAAATGGGACACCTATAATAAATAAACATATACATCCATTAGTCTTTTATCTAACTGAACAGCAGAAAGTTTAGATATAGCCATGAGCAACTCCAAAAGACAAACATGCACATTCACAAATACAAGCCTACTGCCATATATACATTTTTTAAAGGCAAGGGAAAAGAGAATCCCAAACCTTATGCTCATATACCACACATTTTCTATCTTAAAATAGCAGGCACAGGTTTCAAAATTTATATATAAAATGTTACTGAATCAAAATTAAAATAAGTCTATTGGTGGTTAATATTGAAGAGTTTCTTCCTAAGACTAAATGCTACAGGCCAGCAGGTGTGCCTTAGCAGCTGAGCAACGACCCAGGAACCAAGAGTCCACAGGTTTGATTCTTGGTCAGGGCACATGCCCAGGTTGTGGGCTCAATAGGAAGTGCTGATGCAGCCAATTGGTGTTTCTCTCTCTCTATCCCTCTCCCTTCCCTTCTCTAAAAATCAACACATTTAAAAAAAAGATAAAATGTAACAATATTGAACATTTGACTATAAATAGAAAATTTTTACTTTTTGTAATCTGTAACTAAAAAAAATTTACACATTCAACTAGGACTGGAAACTCTCCTAAACAAAAGAAAAAGGCGGACTTCAGGTCATCACAATCTGTTTGACAAGTATTTTACTAGTATCTTCTTGAATTACTCTGAAAAGCCAGTTTTCTTAAACTAGGAGTATAAACGTTATTTTTTAAAGAGCTATTTTCATTTTTCTGTAGTCTAAGAAGGGAATATACTTCCTTAAAAAAGGGAGGAAGGGCAGCTCCCTATTTTTCCAAGAAAATGTATCTCTTTTGTTTCTCTCATATTTTGTTGATTTTTTACAGAGAGGAAGGGAGAGAGATAGAGAGCCAGAAACATCGATGAGAGAGAGAGACACCGATCAGCCGCCTCCTGCACATCCCCCACTGGGGATGTGCCCACAACCCAGGCACATGCCCTCGACCGGAATCAAACCCGGGACCCTTCAGTCCGCAGGCTGACGCTCTATTCACTGAGCCAAACCGGTTTCGGCACTATATATCTCTTTAGAAAAGACAGGGAGAGGGTTTAGTGATCTCTTTCCAAGCAGTGCAGGTAAGGATGCAACTGGTTACATTCCTGAGAATTTTGGTTAACAAGACCAAAGTCTCTTAGAAGGCAGGGATCGGAGAAAGACAATACAATTGGCACTGAATACAGTAAATAAACACATAGGAAGGTACTTGCTTCCAAATAACCTTAAAGGTCTGTTCCAGAACATTTACTCTTGAAACATTTTCTTTAAATTTTCCAAGAACAAAAGCTTAAATACTTTTTCCTTCCCTGAATTTTGTTTTGTTTCTCAATTAGTCCTTACTGGCTTGAAATTTAGTATATTTTGCTCTTATAAGCTGATTTTTGTGAGGGATTTCCCCCCACCCCCAGTCTTGGCTAACAACCTGCCCTTTCAAACATTATTCTGAAGTATGGGCTTGTTTTTTTCTGAAATGGGTCTTGTATTAATGTACTGAAAAGATGGATTTTTATGTCAAATATCTTTTCAAAATTTGTAAATGGATACCTTGCTAATAAAAAGGACAGTAATAACTTGGATATACTGGTTTAAAAGTGAATAATTTCATCTAAGTAGATAATTGGCATAAGTAAATGTGGTATATAGTAATAACCTAATGAGGGGGGAAAGAATGCCAGGATAAATTACTGATGAATGGGAAGCTGAAAAAAGAATAAAGTCAAAAGTATCTTAAAACTTTAATGAATAAAGAAATATTTGTTTTAGTCTAAGCACTTTCAAGCTGAATTTAACAGAAATATTCAAGCATAATCACTATATATCAAATCTTTATTTGCTATTAAGCAAATAAAATGCTTAATAGAATGGAAAAGTTGACCAATAGCAAACAGAAAAAAATGTAACATGATATAACTTCTGAAAAACCTTTAGTTAGACTGCAAACAAGGAATCTGCTATGGTCTGAGTATTTGTGTTGGCCCCCCCCCCCCCCCCCCCCCCCCCCCACCGCCCCTCCCCCCCTGGCAAAATCCATATGTTGAAGTCCTACCCCGTAGCTGATGGCATTAGTAAGTGGAGCTTTTGGGAGGTGACTGGGTCATGAGGGCCAACCCTTCATGGATGGGATTATGGCCTTATAAAGAGGCCTCAGAGAGCTGTCCTTCCACTATGTGGGGACTAGGTGAGAAGCCTGCAGTCTGGAACCCAACCATGCTGGCACCCTCATCTCAGACTTTCAGCCTTTAAACTCTGAGAAATAAATTTCTCTTGTTTATGTGCCATCCATTGTCTGGCATTTTTTTTTTATTATAACAGCCCAAACAAGACAGAATCAAATAATATGTTGTTCATAAGACACCCTTACATTGAAAATGACAAGGACCAATCTCATCCATAAATACCAATTCCAAAACCTTAATCAAAATATTAGCAAATAAAAATACTCTTCCAGGAGAACATTAAAAAAAATGGAGAAAACCTTCTGGCCATTAGTAACACAATTCACACACCTCTAACCAAAAGCAAGATTCTTGCTTAATGCTAAAATTCTCAACGCATTCATCAAAGGAAAGAAGAAAAGGATGTCTGCGTTATCACCATTAGTCAGCACTGCTCTGGAAGTACTAGTTGGTAAGTACAATTAGATAAGAGTTACACAAGAAGTATACATTATCAGAAAGAGGCAAAATTACCATTAGTATGATGGAATTGTATACTTTAAAAACTCAAGAAAAACAACCCAAAACAACAGAAATAATCAAAATCTGGTTGTCAATTATAAAATTTATATAAAAAAACAGATTGTCTATGTACTAAACACTAACCACTGGAAACCAAATATTAATAAAAAAAATTAAATGCCTAGGAATAAACTTAAGAAACTTGAAGGATTAGCATAAACTGTAGAATTTTATAAGAGGATACAGCAAATAAGAGACGTGAGTAAATGAAGAAATATACCTTATTCTTGAATAGGAAGACACAGGATTGTCAAGAGAACAAGAATCCCTATATTCATCTACAAATTGAATAAAATCATAATAAAAATCTCACAAAGGTTTTTTTTTTACCTTGACAAAATGATTCTAAGTTCTTTGGAAGAACAAATATCCCAGAATAGTCGTGAATATTCTGAAAAAGAAGAGCAAGGAAGAGAGACCAGCCCTATAAGATGCTCAAAGATTTATGTCCATGGTTAATTAAAACAGTATGGAATTTCTATAGGAACAGATAAAGAGATTAAAAGACTCCAAAATATGTGACAACTTGATGATCAGGGGAGAAAAGACACATGTATTTGATAAATAGTACTGGACAAACTGACTAGCATTATAAGTGAGGAAAAAATGAAGGGAACAATGAGAAAAAAAATTCCTGACAGAACAAAGATTTAAATGTAAAAACAAAACCACAAAAAAGTACTAAATGAAAACATGGATAAATATTTTTATAACAGTGAAGTAGGGAAAACCTTTCTAATCATTGATTAAAACCCAGACATTAAAGAAAAGATTAATAAGACAAAATAAGAAAGTTATATATAGCAAAATCACTTGATGAACACAGTAAGACAAAAGGCAACCTAGGGAAAAATATATTTATGACAAAAAGCTAATATCCTTAACATAAAAATAAATGAACAAAGGATATAAAGAGAAAACACAATGATCAATAAACAAAAAATGCTCAATCTCATCAATATCTTAAAAATGTGCCTTAAAACTAACTTATTTACCTAAATTATAAAAAAAAATTTTCAGTGAGTAACAACCAGTATTGGTGAAGAAACACAGGCAGACACAAACATGTCTGAAAAGAATATACATTTATAATCTTTTACAGAAAAACCTGAGTCTGTTACATTTTTAAAAAATAGAGCGTTAAAAAGCACACATTTATCATTTAGAAAAACAGTTACACAACATTAACTCACCAATCTTAGAAGGAAAAAGGGTTTCATCATCAAGTTGGTCCTGAACCCAAGTCATCAAATAGTCAATGTATTTTGGTGCAGAACATTTGATTGGCTTTTTAATATTAGTACCATCAGCCCAATGATATTCATATCTGAAGAGAGAAAGGTTTTATTGATAACGTTTTCACATTAACAAATGTGCAACTTACAATCAAAGTAGGTTCACATTTTGTCAACAGAAATTATATATCTATATCTTTAGTAAATTACCTAAACTACTGAAGATTACTGAGAGTTTCCCACAGAATTATTTTGAAAAGTGATGGTTATAATTGGAAGAAAAAGAGATGATAATGTGGCCGCTGGCAGTGCCAGAATGGATGTTTTCTAGCACAGCCCTGGGAAAGATAAATGAACTGTATTTCTGTCTGTGAGGCAGAGGATGCAGAGGACTGGGGAAGGGACGGAGGGATCACCACACTCTAGATCCTTGGGCACCAAGTTATCACCAACAGAGTTAAGATCATAAAACCCTGCCCAGCCAGTGTGGCTCAGGGGTTGAGCATTTACCCATGAACCAGGAGGTCACGGCTTGATTCAAGGCACATGCCCGGGTTGTGGGCTCGATTCCCAGTGGGGAGCATGCAAGAGGCAGCCAATGGATGATTCTTTCTCATCACTGATGTTTCTATCTTTCCCTCTCCCTTCCTCTCTGAAATCAATAAAAACATTTTTTAAAAATATAAAATCCTGTTTCTTGGAGAGGGTGTTAGTCATGTTTCTAGAAAGCAACACTTAGGCACTCAATATTCATTCAAAACAAAGAGTATGCTCAGGTGGTGTGCTTAACTAGAATGATTAATAAGATTTATACAGAACTTCACTGTATAAAGTATTTAAGCCATAGATCAGTGTAATTTTCTTATTTTATTTAAATTTCTTTAAGAAAGCTTGAGAACTAAAACTTATATCAACACAAAATAAAAACATCCCTCACCCTAACTGGTTTGGCTCAGTGGATAGACCCTTGGCCTTCGGACCGAAGGGTCTCGGGTTCAATTCCAGTCAAAGGAATGTGCTTGGGTTGTCCGCTCAATCCCCAGAAGCGGGTGTGCAGGAGGCAGCCGATCAATGATTCTGTCTCAACATTGATGTTTCTCTCTCTCTCTCCCTCTCCCTTCCTCTCTGAAATCAATAAAAATATATATTTTTTAAATTCCTCATAAAATACTATAATAAAAATAGGATTACCAACTGACTGGGGATCTATCCTTTGCACCTGTAGCAAATTTGGAAAAGACAATTTTTCCCCCAAGAGGTAAATAAATATCTTGACAACTACCATGATATAAATTCAGTCATTTACTCTATCGAAAAGACTAAAAGGAAACTCCTAAATCACACACTACCAAACTTTGACAACATACGGGTGACAGAGTTCCATCATCTCTTTCTCAGTATTTCTTGAAATTTATTATAGTCAATTTTTTAAAAAAATCTAGCATCTTTAAGCCAAATAACTAACACAGCACAGCTGGAAGTAATTAACACTAAATAAGCACAAGAAAAAGGAATCAAATATTAAAAAGTTAACTAAAAACTCAGTTTCAAGAAATTAATTTAAAAAACAAAACATGGACATAAGACACTGGGGGATAGTGGAGGCTAGGGGACTGTCTAGGGCGGGGGGGGGGGGAATGGACACATATGTAATACCCTTTGTAATAAAAAATTTTAAAAAAAAAAAACCATAATGTTAACAGAGTTCTAAATTTCTTTTCTTTTTACAACTCCTTATTGTAATGCAATTACAAAATCAAACACTAAGTACCAAATGCCAAAGTATTTAGTAATAAGTAAAAGCTTATTGGTAAGTATTCAAAAATTCATAAAATTGAACTGCTTTTACACAAGCATATAAGAAAAAAAAGTCTTTATTATTTAATTTTTATCAATTAGTGATTAGCTGTACTTAGTAATCCTATATAAAATGCAGAAATATGTACCTTGGACCTGCAGACATGACTGAACAGCTTGCTTCAGTGCAGAATTCTGTAATAGTTCCATATAACATGTTGATCTGATTGAAGAAATCCACAGCTAGAAATATAACAGCAGAATTGTGTTAAAATATCTGTGTAAACACACCACCATCAGACTTCTCAGTTGAAAGAAAAATAGACAAATTCTTGGCTGAATCCTTGGGAAATTCAACAATCCAAGGATACTGTAAATTCTCTTTTCTTTGTAAGTTGTCACACCTAAGTAAAGTTAACTTTTAATATACATTCATTTTTAATATACTAAGCTTTTAACCAGCATGCAACAGCAGAAAAATAAAATCAGACATAATTCTAACTTAATGGTGACTATACGTCACTAGAATACACAATTTGATTATATCGAAGGGAATGAAAAAAGCCATAGATTCTATTCATCTGGACTAGACAATATCATTTACGTTAGAAAAGTGTTATGAAATACATTGTGAGGGAGAAGGTGTATTGGCAGTTATGAACAATCATTAAAAAAATCCAATCATCATAAAAAAGTTGAGGATACCTCTAGCTGGTTTGGCTCAATGGATAGAGCGTCGGCCTGAGGACTGAAGGGTCCCAGGTTAGATTCAGTCAAGGACACATGTCTGGGTTGCAGGCTCGATCCCCAGGAGGGGCCGTGCAGGAGGCAGCCGATCAATAATTCTCTCTCATCACTGATGTTTCTCTCTCCCTCTCCCTTCCTCTCTGAAATCAATAAAAAATATATATTTTTAAAAAATTGAGTCTATACATATTGAAGACGTTAAAAAAAAAGACACAGGATAATGTCCCTTGCCCTGGATTCTCCAGCTAACAGAAGAGGCAAAATTACAAGAGATGAATAATACAACATATAAGAAGGTAGTTATACAAAGGCCAACAGTAAATGCGAGAGTTCAGAGAAAAGGCAACATATTAAAGAGCTGAAGTAGTCAGGGAGTACTTGTAAAGGAGCTTCAGCTAGAGCTGCAAAAAAAAAAAATGGAACAGGAAGAAGGTGAGTGAAACAACCGAGTGAAGCATATTATGCTCTGTACAAAGCGAACCACGTAAGCCTTAAAACCACACAAGTTTTAAAAAAATGTTTTTGTTCCCTGTCTGAAGGAGTACCTAAAATTCCACTAGGGCTTTTTCAAGTTTCTTAAAAACATATTAAAGGAACTTTGTACAAAACTCCCTCACTTACAAACCTTACTTTTAGTCATGTTTCTAAGAAAGCAATACTTAGTTACTCAGTATTCATTCAAAACAAAGAGTATGCTCAGCTGGTATGCTAGTTTAGGTTATAAATCTAAAGCAGCAATTTTCAAACCAGTGTGCTGTCAGAAATTTTAAAACATGCAATACCTGACTAGTCAGGGGCACTGACCTCTTTTTCCCTTAAATTTTAAACTGGTCAAGGGCATGTACCTTGGTTGTGGGCATATCCCCAATAGGGTGTGTGCAGGAGGCAGCTGATCGATGTTTCTCTCTCATCAATGTTTCTAACTCTCTATCCCTCTCCCTTCTTCTCTGTAAAATCAATAAAACATTTAAAAAATTTAAAAAAAAATGACAACAGTCAACACAATAGCTGTCTGGTGTGAGTGACTCAAAATTATACTTACATTTTGGTCAGATAGGCAAAAATATATTTTTTCCTCTGCCGCAGAATTTTAGCAATTAGTTTATTGTCAGAGAGAAGTTTGTTGTTAGAGAAGAAAAAAGAGAGAAACATCAATTTGTTGTTCCACCTATTTATGCATTCATTGGCTGATTCTTGTATGTGCCCTGACCAGGGATTGAACCCACAACCCTGGCATTTCAGAACAATGCTTTAACCAACTGAGCTACCTGGCCAGGGCTGCACCTTGTTTTTTCTCTTAGTGATATGAATAATGGCTTTTTAAAGAATTGAGAAAAGCAAAATTTTTCTTATGTGGTTATTAGAAAATTTTAAATTAAATTTGGATCTTACATTATATTTCTATCAGATGTGCTGATGAAGGCAACAGTTATCAATAGCTGATTAATAATATAACACATAAAGACAACTAAACACTATGGAAGTTGCTATACCATTAGAAGTATATATTACCACCTATGAAGTAGTCTTACAAACAAACAAAATCAAGTCTGACTAATTCAAGCTCCAAATCTGTGCTAACATGGTAGCCACTAGCCACGTGTAGCCACTTACATTAAAATGAAATTTAAAATTCAGTTTCAGTCACATTAACCACATTTCAAGTGGCCACAGTGCAGATACAGAACACTTGCATCATCACAGAAAGTACTATTGGACAGTGTTGCTCTAGATCTAACAGTTACAGGAAATAAAAGGAGGAACAGAACATAATTGGTGTCTTGGGGATATAATCAGCAAAATTCACACTGTGGAGAACAAATGAACTAATGTCTTCAAGAACAACAAAACAGCAAAGAAAGAAAGACTAAAATGAGGGGAAACATATGTACATATATACAATGGAATACTACTCAGCCATAAAAAAAGATGAAATACTACCATTTGCAACAACATGGATGGATCTTGTGAATATCATGTTAAGCAAAGTAAGTCAGACGGAAAAAGTCAAGAACCAGATGATTCACTCATCTATCTAAATACTAGAGGCCTGGTGCACAAATTCGTGTATGGGTAAGGTCCTAGGCGTGGCCGGAAATCAGGGTTAATCGGGGCCTTCCTTTGTGCTGCGTGCCTCTCCTGGCTCTGTGGCAGCGCTAAGGATGTCTGACTGATGTCTTAGGCCCACTCCCAGGAGTGGGCCTCCGTCAGACATCCCCTGAGGGCTCCTGGACTACGAGAGGGCACAGGCCGGGCTGAGGAATCCCCGAGTGCATAAATTTCATGCACTGGGCCTCTGTTAGTATATGTAAAAGCCTAAGCGACCATCAACAGATAGCTATGATGAGCACTGACCACCCGGGAGCAAATGTTCAATGCAGGAGCTGCCGAGCTGCACCAACTTGGCAGCTGTGGTTCTCAGATGACGCACCCGGAACCAGAGAGGAGGGAGCCTGATTCCAGGGTACGTCACTGGAGAGCCGCCCTCTCGCAATCTGGGACCCCTCAGGGGATCATGCACCAGGCTTCTAGTATGGGATATAAAACTGAAAGCACAAATGAATAAACAAGACAATCAATCAAAAACGTAAGC